AAGTACCTCAGCCTCAGGGTGGACCTGGATTCCTTAAGTCAGCAAGTCTTGGCCACGATTTCAGAGGGTCTGGGTAACGTCAGTTTGGTGAACATGAGATAAGGCCATTTCTACCCCTTCCCCCACCCCGTGCTTCCCCAGAGACCCCTCTGCCTCTGGCCCAAGAGAAGCATAAAGGGAAACTTTAATAATGGACCTGATTTCCCTCTGCTTTATTATGTTTTGCTGCACAGCAGTTTATTATCTCTGGAAAGGAGCTTTGCAGGAATCAAGAGGCGGGGGTGAAAACAAAAGAGATGCAAAACAAGGCTGTTTAAGGGTGTGGCTCAGTGGTAGAGCTCGAGGCCCTGGGTTTGGGTTTGATCCCCAGCACTGCCAAAAAATTTTAAAAGCCAGATAACATGGTACAGGAGGGCAGCAGTGTCCCTGATAACAGGGAGCGTGAAGGGAAGGACCAGGCTGCTGAGTCAGAGCAGTTCCCCTTCCTTTGTGTTCTTTCGCCCATCTTCTCTCTCCATAGAGGGGTCACGGAATGGTGACTTTGGGCCAGTAGGACCTTGGGGTAAAACCATACCAAGGCACCGGTTAATTTTCAGGGAGGAGCTTCTCAGAAACCAGAATTTAGTCACTTAATATTAAGCGTCCAGATCGTGAAGGCTATCATTAAGTCGGTTTGTTTCCTCGGAGCTAGTGAAGGTTCTCATGGTGTGCAGCCGTGGCCAGAAGGCTGAAGGATGAAAATGCCGGAAGAAGAGTGCAGCTCATGCTTCTGTTCTGCACGTCTCTCCCCGGCCTCAGACCATAGTCTGCATTTCCTGACCACCCAGTCACACCTGGCTCTGCTGCTAGCAACACTTCTGGGCGTTTTGCTCTTAGAGCAGTCTCTATCTGAGATCCCAGCTGCCCCTGTTTACTTGAATGCTTCAGGTCTTGGCTCTTGAGGTTGACTGCAGATTTGATTGACTTAAGTAGAGACCACTGAATATGGCTTAGGTTTGGCTTTTTATTTTTCGTTATGTTCTTTCTTTTTTTGTACTAGAGAATCGATTCAGGGCCTCCTACATGCTAAGCAAGTGAGCTACCACTGAACTACATCCCCACCAAATGTGGCTTTTTGATACAGTTTGTATAGCTAAAAAAAATTTTTTTTAATTAGGGAAAGTCTCATAAAACTAATGAACTCTTTTTTCCCCCTAAAAGAAACATATAATTAGTCATAGGCCAGATTTGCTTTGAAGTTTCCTATTTCCGTTTCTGTCCTAAATAGCTTTCTTTTCACATAAGTAATTGTACACTCTATAACAAAATAAGAGTAGATATTGTGAATGAGACACTAGAGTCCTTTATTTATCTCACTTTAATTGTGGAATAGTGTCCATGATTGTGTGGACATTGATGGGCCAAATTTACAGAGAACTAATGCTCAGGGAAGCAGCTAACCAGGCGATGCAGGCAGGACAGACATGGCTCAGCCACTCCCGGTAAGGCAGAAAAGATCTTCGCCCACACCTGCAAGGCAGATGTGGTTCCTGTAACCCTCAGACTTAGTGGCTGCACCTAGGGCTGGTACACAGACCTGTGCTGAGCCATCTCCTCCCCTGGTGTGGGAGCAGGAAAGCCCATGCCCTCTCATCCATCTCACGAGGCTGCTGGGAGACTCAAGTGTAGTCATCATAGTGCAGTGACAGAAGGCAAGGAAGAATCTCCACAGCCTGTGGAAATATGAAAAACAGAATGTAAATAACCAGGGACAGTGGCACACGCCTGTAATCCCAGCTCCTGGGGAGACTGAGGTAGGAGGACCGCAAGTTTGAGGCTAGCGGGGCAATTTAGTGAGACTATCTCAAAATACAGTAAGTAAAAAGGGCTGGGGATGCAGCTCAGTGGAATAGCCCTTGCCTACCACATGGGAGGCCCTGGGTTCCATCCCCAGCATTGCAGACAAAGAAGGAACTGCCATGGCTTCATACCTGTGTAATGCCAGCCTTTGTGTATCTTTTGGGGAATGAATGAAAACAAAGCCTGTAAGTAAAAGAGAATCCAGCTTATTGTACAACAGCGGCTCAGCTTTGGAACTGTCTTGGATTTTGCCAACCTACTAGAGTTAGTTACCACAGCAAAATTTCAAACATAATTATAATTGGCTTATTTTCCCTGAGATTTGTTGTTGTTCATTTGTTTGTTTTGGGGTTTTGTTTGTTTGCAATATTGGGGATCAAGCTGAAGGCTAAAGTTGAAAAGAAATCAAGTCTAAAATTGTGAAGCAAAACTTCATGTTTTTTTGTCTCCATCTGAGCATTCAGACTAACCCGGTTTCACAGCCTTTTTCCCTTGCCTCTAGCAGATCTCTCATTTTCCAACAAGCAACCCCCTTCAGCGGTCTTGCCTTGTTTAGAAACTAAGCCAGTTACCGATTTTAAAATTTAATCCCCCTGAAAATCGAATTCCAGAATGATACTTTCTAATTTCTGTCCAGAACCATAGAAATGTATATTGTACAGCCATAATGTGTGCATAGGAATAGAAAATTACCTGAGGACTTTATACAAGAAATTATTCACAGGGATCACCTCTGGGAAGCAACATTGGGAAGCAGATTTTTTTTTTTTTAAGGAAGAAGACTTTTACATTTTTATGCTGGAAATGTTACTTCTATATAATGGACAAGTTAGGGACAGGCATCCTAATCCTGAGAAACGTATAGCCTCCTTTCAATTCAAGAGCAAACAACTGTGCTTGTTCAGTCTTTCATTCAAGGGCATTGACATATATTGGAATAATTTGAGCTGTGTTGTACCAGCACAGTATGGTAATTTTCATACTAGTCGAACACGATTTCCACCTTAAGGAGTTGTAAATTGGGAATTCATTCAGTTCATACCTTTCATATAAAAGTAAAGAATGGAAAACTTTTCTGAAAGTTAACAAGCAAAGAAAGACTTGACCCAAGTGTCCCAGTGATCTACTCCATGTGGGTGACATGTCCCCTGGAAGCAGGAACCAGTCCTACCACCTCGGTGCCCTTATACTGAGCCCTCACAAAGGTTGCTGAGGTGAATGCAGAATCACTGTCCTTTCATGGTCACAGGAACTTGAGAGAGCCCATGCTGCAAAGCTGATCAGCCACCATGAAAGATGTGTGTGCTCTATGAAGACCCACATCCGGCTCCCCAAGGACCCCTGACTCTAGATCACCTTCCAGGCAGCCACACACTAAGCCAGTCAACACCACCTAACTGCTCAGGGAAGAGAACATACCGGCTCTACTAAGTCAAGCAAATAGGAATCCCAACTAGCAGTAATACCTCTCCTTTCCCCTCAGTTACTTGGCATTTTCCTGGGCTGGTTTATCCCATAGTTCCTCGTACCATTATCTGATGTCCATTGAATATAAACCATTCTGTCCCTCACACCCAAAGAAGGGAAAGGGAAGAAACACAAAGGAAAAGCCTAATTCCTGAGAAGCTTTCTTTTTGTTTGTTTGTATCCTACTAGCTAATCATCCTCCATTTCTACTCATCTGTTTTAAAAAAATTAAGGGCCTAATATTGCCAGGCATTTGTATTAACAATTCAGAAAACTGGGCCAGGGATTTAGCTCAGTGGTTCCATCGCCTGCCTCACAAATGAAAGGTTCCGAGTTCGATCCCCGGTACCAAAAAGAAAAAAAAAAAAAAATTCAGAAATTAATCTTGCTTAATAAAGATGTTAAAAGTCAGACAGGGTGGTGCACACCTGTAGTCTCAGCACTCAGGAGGCTGAGGCAGAAGGATTGATGCAATTTCAAGGCCATTCTGAACTACATAATGAGACCCTGTCTCAAAAAACCAAAAAAATAAAGATGTAAAGTTTTTGAGTCATTTCATTAAAAAAGGATCATTATTTTAAATCCTATCATGATCCAGTGTTTAAAAGGTAAACTGAGGCACAATAACTTTTTTTTTAAGAATTTATTTGAGCACACAATGGTCCATGAATTGAGCCAGTCCCACACTGGATGTGGCCCTGGCACTCCACAGAGGGATACAGAAGTAAAGCAAAGAAAATGTGCGCTGGGTTCAGTTATACAGTTGCCTTAGTTGATTTCTCCTGTTGGAAATTCCCTAGTTCTATAAGTGGCTACTTCTGATTGGTTGAACATAATTTCTGTTTTTCTTTAATATAAGCATTTATAAAAAAAAAATAGCTCACATTCAGCTTCCCTTGTACTTGTAGGTGAAGCCAGGCTTAGGCCCCTTGTAAATGGCTTTGTCTGGTCAGGGATTCTTCCAGCCTGGTCTCCATTCTAATTTGCTTGAACAGTTGTTAACTGATATAAGGGTTTGGGGTTGTTAAGTTTTTGTTTTTGCTCCTTTGGCAGTGCTGGGAATTGAACCCAGAGCCTTCCACATAATAGGCCACTACTTTACCACTGAGCTAGATCCTCAGCTCTCTTTCCATTTTTATTTTGAGACAGGGTCTTATGAGGTTACCCAGGCTGGCCTGGAACTTGCAGTCCTTCCACATCAGCCTCCTGAGTGGCTGGGATTACAGGCACACGCCACTAGACCTAGCAGTTGTTCAGTATTTTAAAAAGATATCTATATCAGTCATCTTTTGGAAGAGGAAAGAAAAGTGTAGAAAGATTTCCTTCCACTTCAGATCATAAACTGTAGGAACAAATTAGATGTGCATAAAAATATTAGTACTTTTCTGACCCAAAATAAAACTTAGATGATTTATTTGGTAGAAAAAATTAGTAGATTATTTCATAAACACAACAAAACTAGTTGCCATGGTATTTTAGCTAAGTAAAAGTTAAAATTCTACTGCATTATAAAACAGAATTCTTAGTAGGTTACTGTTCTTTTACTTTTTAGTGACTCATCTTTAAATATATAACCATTGCCTTTACTGGTCTTTATGTTCATAATGGCTATTGATAGAACTCATCGTTTCCCCAAAATAAGTTACGTTAACCCAAAATCAGTGAAGAGTTGGAAGATTCATTGTAGTTAAAATTAGGGTCAGAAAGGGCCCATGGTTTTTGGCCTTTTCAAAAAAATCCATTAATGCCCAATGACAAGTAGGCACAATTTAGTGGCTCCTTCATTTTTGTTCTTGTTTTTTTGGTACTGGGGCTCGAACTCCGGTCCTTGCTCTTGCACAGCAGGCGGCGAAACCACTGAGCTAAATCCCCAGCCCAACTCCTTCGTTATCTTAAGCAGGAGGCCCCTACAGAAGGCACACAGATAAAGTCAACACAGGGCCCAGTGACCTGGGCGTGTGGCCAGATGTCAGATCCCCGGGGCTCTCTGGGTTTTTTTTCCTTTAGTGCTGTAGAGTCCTATGTGGGGGTTACAATCCCTGGGCACTAGTATTTTATTGGTAGAGAATTTGATGTGAAATGTATACAGACTTGTTAATATAATCCCACATTGTGTTTGCTCAGCAGAAATAGTTTTATTTTTAAAGTAGACTTATTAGAGATAGCTGTTTATTCCCAGGTCAGGGAGTCTCTCTGGATTCTGTGTGGTTTCTTGTCTGGTCTGTTTATCCCAAATAAGTAGTCCTGACTCTTGGAAGTAATAACTGCATCATCAGAAAAGAATGTGGGTGTTTTCTGATTAAACTCATTTTTTTATCCCATTTAAAAGAAATAAGTGGAAAATGAAGGAAAGCCTTCTCACACTTCCTTCACTTAACGTTTTCACTCCCAGTTTTGCGACATAATTAGAATGACCAAAAGATGTATGTTCTAATTCACAGCAGCGGGTAGATCTGACTCTGGGAAACAAGTCGCACCCTGCCTTTGTCATTTTGGGCCTTTCATCAGCTAAAAGTCACAGGGAGAGAATCTTCAGGTCTGTAGAAATAGCATGTGAACAAACATATGCAACAGTTGGGTTTTCTACAATAGATTCTTCCACTGGTGGCTTTGTCAGGTAGCCCTAAATACACTGCCTTCAGGGTCCTACGCTTTTTCTCCTCAAGAGAAATTAAACTCTCCCTGCCTGATCCTGAATTCTTCCCTAGAGCAGATTGTGTGGCAGCCTCAGGAGCCGCAGCTCCACATAAGTAAACAGTTACATTACTAGTAAATGATGCTTTGACCCAGAAAGTTAAGAGACTGGGAAGTATTGGTATAGCTGAATATGATCATTCATTTCTTCCTCTTAATAAATACTGTTCTTTTCTCCAAATCCATAGCCCCACACAGATTATAAAGATATCTTAAGATGCCCTCTAAAATGGCTTAAAATGCCACCTCAAAAATGCATTTAGCCAAAGAAATCACTGTAGGGTCTAGGATCAGATATAGTACCCAAGGCCATGTCCCCATGACCCAGCCTGGCATACCCAGGATCATGCTCCACTAATCTGCTGGGGATTTCTTTATCTTGTAAAGTTGTCAAATCAGGATTAATGGTCACACCAGGCAACTGGGAAAATATATGAATGATTCCCTCTTGCCCTACCTGTAGTACCCTTTGTGTTAGAAGTTTGGGCACTAGAAAGCCTAAGCATGGTTTTTTTTCTGGTGTGTCCTCAGCTATATACTGCCACTGTAGTAACCAGAGGAAACTGTTAGCCCCCTTCTAGAACAGTCACTGTAGGAGGATAAGGGAACCATGCACATATTAAATTTTTAAGTATAGGAACTCCCCACCTACAGGCAGATTGGGAATCAAAAGTTTACTTATAGTTAATTTGGACCCAGAATACCTTTTCCATAGTGAGTTATAAAAAAGACCTATATTTCAGGCCATTTTAGAAGCCGTTTTAGCCATCAGATATACCTGAAGCACAGTCCCGTGCAGTTAGAAAGACAGCAGCCTGCCACCATCTGTCACAGAGCTGCTCGCCTTCTGCTTGCCCTGTCACACCCCCACTCTCCAGGCCCGGCCCAGCAGGGCAAGGAGCAGTCGATGAGGCTGCAGGCACCCACATTTGCTCTGACACCTGCTGCTCAGGTGGAAAGGAGAAGGAGCACTGTGGGAGTTGCCCCAGAGCTCAGGGGGAAGGGCCCCTATGAGGCCACATTGTCTGGGCCAACACTTCTCCAACTGCAGAGGGTGTCCGACTCCCCTGGGGACTTGCTATACCTGCAGGTTCTGATGCAGCACCTTTCTAACAGGTCCCCCCACACATCTTGGGGCAGGAGAGGGAAGTCCCAGTCCCCACAGAAGGGGAGTGGGGAGGGGAGAGCCGAGTCTGCAGCCCTTGGCAAGGTCCTGTGTCCACAGAGCACAGTTGGCTGGGTGGGAAGGGGCGGGCCAGCCTGGGTGCAATGCAGCACTGGCTGCATCGGAGCTTTGTCCCCTGAAGAGCTCTCGGCCAGGGCAGACGCTCTACCCGCCACAGTTCCTTGGTGGAACCAGGCTGAGCAAAGCCCCAGCCTCCATCTGCAAATGATCCAACACCACCGTGCTTTGTGAGCAATGCTTGTGTGAACACAGAGGAGACACGGACCATCCAGGAGCCATCCAGATCCTGGGGCAGTGTCTGGTCCCCAGGAGAAGCAGCGGTTTCTCCTGGGCCCAGCATTCGTTTCTGATTCAGGTGACAGAGAACACACTGAGAAGATCTTTCCTCCAGACTGCACAGCAAAGCAGTGAAGAACTGGCTTCTGTCCTGTCCTGTCCTTGAGCACCTGCCTGTGTCCCTGTCTTTAGCCTCATCTGTAAAGTGAAGCTGAGTGGGGTGGCCCATACCTGTAATCCCAACACTCTGGGAGGCTGACGCAGGAGACCCTGTCTCAAAAATGAAAAAATAAAAAAGGGCTAGGGATGTAGCTCAGTACAAAGGTCCCATGTTCAATCTTGAGTACTGCAAAAAAAATAAAATAATGTGAGGTGAGAGTAACTTGCTCAGAGGGTGCTGGGGAGCTTAACAAAGTCATCCGTGCAAAACCCAGAGTGCCACAGAGGTGGGGGTGGTGAACTGAGTCATGTGACTTCAGGCACATGTCAGATTGCCTTTCTGACACTTACTGCCTGTGTGTGTGACTCTGGGCCACTTACCTTGTCTACACCTCAGTTTCCTGTTATATGAAAATGATAAAAGGACCTCCCTCATGGGCTGCTGACAGGACAAAACAGGTAAAGCACTTGTCCAGTGCAGGTCTTCAGTCCTCAGGGTTGTCGTCCAGGGGGGCAGGTGACTCTTGTCTGGACAGCAGGGGTCCTTAGGCGTCCTTCACAGAAGCCCCTGCTGCTTCTGGGAAAGGAAGGTTGACAGGAGGAAGCTGAGGCTCCCTCCGCCCACACCCGCCACCCCCTGCAACCGGAGGGGCTGGTCTTATTGGGGTTCAGCTTTAACTTAGAAGAAAAGGTTTAGAAAATCACTGTTTGTTACCTGCGGTGTGCTGTGGGACCATGGGGAAACTCCATAGTCTAAATTTACAGGGTGTCAGCACCTGCTTCTTCTATTTAATTTCCTTGAAGACAGAAATAGCAGATGGTAAATTCAAAGAGATGCATGCATGTATAATGTAAAGTTCTAGGAGGCTGTACTGGATTATGACTTTTGACGTGATTACTCTGTGGCATTTGCTGGTATGTAACACTTGGTTTTCTCCTCCAGATGAGCACCATGCCTGGACTGCCCACTCGGCCCTGCTTTTATGACATAGATCTTGACGCAGAAACAGAGCAAGTCAAAGGTTTGTTCTAATGTAAGCCGATCTGCACAGGACCTGATCCAGGTAAGCTGTTGTGTTTCTACACACACCCCCACCCCCTTTGGCAGTTCAAAAGCTTTTTGTTTTGTTTTTCTAAAACTTGTTATAAAAGTGAGCCAATCAGTAATTTACTTCCTTGGTTAAAAGTTCCCACCTAACAGCTCCCGTGGCTTGGGTCCACTCCCAAGTGTAGACACACTGTTAGATGGTCAGTCCCGGCCCCTTAGTGTACTGGGACTTGAGTCCAGTGAACAGCAAATCATGCCATCTCCAAATACGGATTTATTTAGAGCATTTGTGGCCTTAACAAAGGAGCCCAGTGAAATCATTTTTCTCACTCCAGAAATGAAACCAAGATCTGCAGTCATGTAAAATAGTAACTTCCTACCTTCCTACCCCTCATCTCTGGGTACAGAATTAGAATCGTGTTAGAGGAATCTTGGTGAATTCATCCTGCCATAACAGAGTACCACAAACTGGGTAGCTTAACACAACACAAACCTGTTCTGCAGTTCCAGAGGCTGGAAGTTTGTGGTCGGGTTGTCAACTGAGCAGGTGTGGTGGTCCCTTAGGGATGTCAGGGGACCTTCCCCACCGCGTATCACCATCACTTCACTCTGCCTCTGGTCACCTGGCTGTCGCCTGTGTCTCCATCTTTTCTTTTTTTTCTGGTACCAGGGATCAAACTCAAGACCTTGAGCTTGCAAGGCAGGCACAGCGCCATTAAGCTAAATCCCCAGCCTGCCTGTGTCTCCATCTTCACATGGCCATCTCTCCTTATGAGGACACCGCTCAGATTGGTTTCAGGCCCAGCTCCATCTTAACCTGATAACTCTCCAAAAGGCCTTGTTTCCAATTAGGGTCACTGTGGCAGGTGCCCAGGGCTAGGACTCCCAGCATATTTGGGTGGGGGAGACATTCAACCTCCACCACTTGACAGTGGCACATTGGTTGTGTTAGGCCCTTCTGTATGGAAAGACACAGCCGGATGGGCAGAGGAGGGACAGAACAGTAGACATTAGGACATTTGCAGCTCATGGTCCCCATGGTTTAAGAGGGTGGATCTTAGCTAGATATAGTGCCACATGCCTGTAATCCCAGCACTCTGAGGGGCTGATCTGAAGTCTGATCTCAAATAGGAGGATTGCAAGTTTAAGCTCAGCCTGAAAATTTAGTAATTTGGTGAGATCCTGTCTCAAAATTTTAAAAAATTTTAAAGGCTGGGGGTATAGCTCAGTTAGAAGGCCCTGGGTTCAGTCCTCAGAACCACTCACACACACACACACACACACACACACACACCAATGTGGAGGCTTTACTTGCAGCTCCTCCGGCAGCCCAGAGCCCAGGGCTCCTGGCCTCCTCCTGTCTGCTCTCCACCCTGCAGACGCAGCAGCTGGCTGCGGTCCTGACTTCCTGTCATGTGGGAAATGACCACACACTCCTCCTCCTCCCTGGAAAACTCCCAGTCAGAAGTTTTAAAGGCTTGGGGCTGCCTTTCACCATCCCTACATCACACATGTCCCATCTTCTCGGCATACAGTCTTTCCCCCAAGACTCCCTTCTCCCCATCATTCCTGTAGCTTAGCCCAGAACCCCTCCCTCCCACCAGTGTGTTCTAGGCCTTCAGTTGGGCTTGCTTTGCCCTGCTCCACCTTCTCTGAGTTAGGGCCACAAGCCACACGGGGTGCCCATCTCCAGTGGTATCGCTTCCTGCAGTCAGCGTGGAGGGCATCCCCCTTTTTGGTATGTTTCTTACTAAAACACTGCACAGCTAGGCTGTGATGAGATAGGTCACTTACAGGACATCATATTAAGACCAGGTGTGGAATTGTTTGTTGCCTGTTGGGGGGGTATTTATATGTGTCCCTTGCTGAGGAAGAGGGGCTACAATAACTTGAAGCCACAACCTCAGGTTTTATCTTCATTATTCCTGAGAATGAAAACTAGAAAATGAAATGGGGTGATGAGTTTCACCAAGAAACCCATAAATCTGCACTTTGATAACAGTGTTATTTTGGTCTTTTGTTATGACTGTGTGTGCTGTGAATGCCTTGCATTTCCCAGCTAGGCCTTGGGAAAACAGCAGTATCATTCCTTTAAAACAAAGATTGAGCCTTGACCTAACTAATCTCTTTTCATGTCAAGAATCTTGAATGGTACATTTCTGTCATTTGTCTCCAGAACATGTGTGCACAGTTCTCTCATCTCTCTTGAATAGTTATTTTTCCAGGATTTTGGTCAGTTTTCATTTGCTCTCCAAGGAGGTCATATGAGCCCAATTATGCCGTAATTATCGCAGTTAAGAAGTGAGTAATGTCAAGGGACCTGCCCTTAACTTCACTAGTGCATGCACACGCTCACATCCTTTATTGCTGAAGAGACCGTGTTTCCCAACGCACGCTCCTCCAGATTTTATCGAAAGTTCGCTCAGGAGTCTGTGGTCAGGACGCCAGGCTGTGGTAATGCCAGGCAGTGCTCGGCACCTCACACAGATGGCCACAGCCCTCTCCAGGCAGGTGTTGTCCCGTAAGGCCACCGAGACTTCCTCTGTGGTCACCCAGAGCTGTTGGCTGAGGGCCGGCCCAGTCCATGGGGCTGCAGAGTTGCCTGCCCTCTGTGTGGCACTGCCTCTCCCCTCAGATAGCACCTGTCCTGTTGTCTCCCGCACCATCGACAGTGCGGCCACCAAGCCAGTGAGATGGATGGTGTTTAATGGAAGATAATTATTTGACTATTAAGAGCTATGACTTTGTCCAAATTCTTCTTAGACGAAGTGTAATAGGGCTGTCTCTTACTTAATTCTCTAACTTGAATGACAATTGCCCCCCTCATTTATCTAAGCTCTTTGTGAACTGCTAAATCCTGCTCTGAGCTGCCCAGGCAACAGTTCCGAACCCATCATTTGAGCCTGCTTAAACAATGGCATATGGATCCAGTGTCCTAAGACAAAACCACTCTACACAGCAAACGCGCCCTCTCAGGCTCCTTGATATAATGATCCAGCAAACGTTCTTTCTATTTCCTGTGCCTCTCATGAGGATCCAAGGACCATTTCTACTAGTCAGAGGTCTGGGGACATTAAAAACACGTGAGATAACAATGTTAAATCTCGGGCGGCAGTTAGCTTGGCCCAGTTTGGGTATCAGAGAGGAAATGCCTGGTCCACTTCCTTTGCTGTCTCAGGGGCCAGACTGTAGGTCGTCCTGGAACTCACTTCCCGGGTGACAAATCTGTTCTTCCTGGAGAACCACAGGAAACCACGGGAAGAAAACTGCACACAGTTGCTGACACTTTCCTTCCTTGGCACTTGCCTTTCCTGCCCACCTCACCCTCTAGGAATTTTCGTGACATCCAAGAAATCACCCGAATTTGAGCTCTGGCCCCTTGTCCCAAGAGTGCCCTGGGAGGGCATGAGTCATTCTTTTGGATGTCACTAATAGAACTAATTAAAACAAACTTTCCCCAGTGAAACTGAACAAGCTACTGAGCCTTTTGTTTGAAGCCGATTGTTTTTGGAGGCATGTGTCCCTGTTCTTGGATCTCGTTCTGAACCTACATCATCTTTCTGAGCCTTGGCAGGATTCATTCAAACGAACACACAGTAAAGTCACAAAGTTCCTGAACAATGTAGGTGCTCCCTTCCTTCATTCTGACGTCCAAAGTTCTGTTTAGTATGGAATCTGATTTACTCCGGCTCTTCTATCAATGTTAATTATTTGCCAAAGAATTGCTGTTCTGGAATTGCACTCACAGCACAGAGCATAATACCAGCCCATCTCACCCCTGAACTGCCTTCAGGGTGGAAATGATCAAATATGCTTAATAATCATAAATTAATGTTTAGTCGGGTGGCTTCATGCCAACCCTTCCCCACACAGGGCCGCCCAGCAGACAACGCAGGGCTCAGCGTGCCCACCGAGAGCAGCTCAAAGGCTGCCCATCACCATTGTACTTCAAGGAAAAGGGCAGTGGCCCAGACCCCAGCACACCCCACTCCTGTCCCTGTGCCAGGCAGGGCCAAGGGGGATGGGAGCCCTCACCACTCAAGTAAGCCTCTCTGGCATCTAAAAGACAGGGATAATTAAACCTCTCCTATCTGACTGAAAGGAACTCTTTTGAAGCTTACATAACAATTCCCCTTTAACTTCCTGCCAAGGACTGTGGTGCACGCCTGCATTCTCAGCTACTCAGGAGGCTGAGGCTGGACAAGTTTGAGCCTGGGCAGCTTAGCAAGAACCTGTGTCAAAAAGGGCTGGGGACCAATGAAACTCAGTGTAAGGCCGTGAGTTCAGTCCCCAGTACCGAACCAAAAAGGAGGAGGAGGAAAGGGAGAGAAGGGGAAGAAAGAAAAAGGAAAAGAAGACCGGGTATTGTAGCTCAGTGGAGCCAGCGCCCTCCTGAAAAAGGAAAGGAAAGGAAAAAGAAAAAAAGTGTTTTGATTTCTTATCAACATTTCATATATTTTGTCTTCCAAAATATTTGCCTACTGAATTAACCTCTGAAAGTGGTTCTTTCCCCACTGAATAAACAATTGATTCATTTGCATATTCTCACCTTAACTGTTGTCTGATTTGCTTTTCATCTGTAACCAGGCTCTCAGTACTCTTGCTGAGCCCTCAGATTTCCTTACAGCTTGGACCGCAGACCAGAAGCCCCCTAAGCATGGAACTGTGGGGCACAGAGGTGCTGTGCTCACCACATAGCGGTCTTGCCCCACCTCCCTGCTGCATGGAGGGCCCTGTTCCAAGTCCTCTCCAGTCCCCAGAGCCCACCCTGTGCCCCGCAGTCCCTTGCACCCAGGATTCACTGAGCCTCTTGTCCAGGGTCACTAGAGCCGCTGAGGTGGGGGCCCAGGTCTGCACCAGCCAAATCTCCCCGATAACTTCTGAACTGTTTTCCTTTGCTTGTGGTTGTTGGACCTGTAGTAATTTTTCTGTTTACTCCCCTGACTCAGTGTCAGATGTTAGGGGAGTATTTGAAGTCCCTGTCACTCCCTGAGTCCGTGTGTTCTGCCTTTAAACTAATCAGGCATCCCCTCTACCGCCAGCCCTTTCAGTTATCCGTGGGAGGCCAGCAGGCTGCATTTCAGCAGAGCAAGCACTCCCAGCCCACAGATAAATCCTTGCATGTATAAATTCAGATGAAAGCACACGTACTTGCAATCACATTTTTCCTGGAGTGGCAAACATTTGTGTTTATTGTTTTTATTTTGTTTGTTTTGTTGTTGTTTTTTGGTACCGGGGATAGAACTCAGGACCTTTTGCTTTCAAGGCAGGCGGTGGAACCACTGAGCTAAATCCCGGGCTCTGTTGTTTCTATTGTTTTTAAAATGTACTCTGATCACTGCCTTTCAACAAGGTTGTAGGACTCCAGATGGGCACAGAACCTTCTCTGGGAGAAAGGAACATAGTATTAAATAACAAGCCACAGGTCCATGCGTTCCAGTATTGTCCCAAGAGCATTTTCAGACCTGCTGCAGAAATCCAAAGTGACCAGCCTCCTCATCTGAGATCCTCAACATTCTGAGCACCCTGAAGACAGTAGGTCCTGGATCTGGAAGTCTCGGAGATTCTGGAATCTCTTGGGAAGCTCAGATGCTGCCTGGAGGGGCCAAGTGGACTCAGAGTCGCAGAGCAGGATGGAGTCTGAGCCCACGTCTCACAGGGAAACCCAAAAAGGGATCCTGGCCTTGCCCTGAGAATAGTCGCTTCTCTGATCTTCAATTAGCTTTTGGCCTTAGACTTTAGAGCCACAATCTAATAATGGTTTAACACCAAAGGAAAAAGTAGTTCTTAAACCACTGAAAAAAAAATTTTTTTTTCTATTTTTTAGGCTCCTGAAACACAAACGACTCCTTGCCTTTTCACTGCACTTGGAGAAGGCAGTGTCTGCGAGCTATGCTTGTTACGAAATGTTGGAGAAATGGTGGCACAGGCCAAAGACTTCGTTCAAGTCATCTTGCTGATTTTATTTGCAGCAGAGTGTAGTGTTCAGCAAGAGGACCTCCACTGAGTTTGAAAGGAACTAATTTATTTTCTGTTTCTGAAGAGTTTACATTATTTCCCACTGCTTATACTTTAGGATGTTTATTTTATGAGGACTAAGGGATTACAAGAGTGTGAACTAAAAGGTAACATTTTCCACGATGGTGTTTCCTCTTTTGTCCGTGTGTGTGTGTGTGTGTGTGTGTGTGTGTGTGTTGCTGGAGGTGGAACCTAGGGCCTTGTACACACTAGGCAACCACCTGACCACTGAGCCACACCCCTGTTTTGTCTTTGAACTGAAAATAAAGCTGGATCTAGAAAACCAACCAGCAGGTTTCCAGTGCCAGACAAAATTACCCTCTGAATGTCACCATCCATGTGAAGTCAATGGGATTGCTACCTGACACTGATATCCTTATAACTTGTAAATGAAATCAGAGCTTTATAAATGTGTCAAAGAAAAACTGCATGGAGAAATATCTGGTCAATTGTGAGGTCTTCTAGCTGCTGGAGAATTGTGAGGTTTCTTATAACAAAGCATATAGTATATCCTCTACTACTTTTCAGTGCCAGTGGAATTTACATCACTTACGGAAAACAAATGACTGTGTGTTTGTTTCTTCCACCGGTGACTGACTCTCAATGGCCATTACTCCACAAGGCCCACCGTAATAGGAAAAGGAACTCCAAAAGGTCAGGTGTTTGGCAAATGTCTTTCATTTTGCCCAACCCTTAGTTCTCAGTGGAGAATGTTCTAATGCCTGTTTCCCCCTCCTGGGAGTTGCTGGCCCTTCTTTATTTCCATTTTCCCTTATAATAATATAAAATTATATAAAAGCTGAAACAAAAGCAAGGATTTAGGAACAAACAAAGAGTGATTGTCCTCTAAGCAGTGGAAGTAAAATAGTCACCATAAATATTCTAAAAGACCCCAGGCACATCCTGCAGATCCTTCCTGCCACACTCTTGCATGACCCCTGCCAATAACCCTGCTTGCCCATAATATATCTTTATGCACAATTTAGTTTGTTCCAAAACACTGTTTGATATCTAAAATGCCTCCCCACTCAAACGCTGCCTGTCACAAGTAAATTTCACTTGACAATTCTAAAGTGTCCCTCCAGGTCCCTGCCCCTTCCTAGAGAGGACACCCTCCGAAGATGCAGTTCTTAGTATTTTCACGTGCATCTGTTTAACAATTAGGAGCACTCACGGTGAGCTTGTTCTCCATATCATGATGCACTCAGAAAGTAGTCTGTCTCCTTGTGAACTGATTTTTTTTTTAAGCTGTTTCCTTCTGCTAGTCACATTTTTACTAATTTCTTCTGTCATTTAAAGTTTCCTCTTCTACTTCTGGAAATGTTTTCATTTAAAACATATTTTAAAAACTTACATTGAAGACAGGCTCTAGGCCAGCGGCTTCTTTTCTCACTGGTCTCACCAAGCAACTCATGTACCCTGAAAATCAAAACTTTCCTGTCTGTCTGAGGGCTCACCTTGGGAACCCCTGTACCACAGGTGTGGTGTGGACTCTGCACTCCTCCCAGGGGGGTAGTGCTGGCCCCAGATGTCTCTTGGGGCTCTCTCCACCTTTGCTCTTTCACTCCCCTAATGGGGGTGCACACCTTTGAGGGACGCACTGTCTGCACCGAGAAGAAACCCCTGTGGCAGGCTAACAATGGGCTTATCCGCTCAAGGTGACTTGTATTCAGAGACTGGAGGAAGGAGGGTCAGCCCAGGATATAGATCCACAGGTTTTGCATCCATTGATTCAACCAACCACTAATAGAAAATACTGTATCAGGAAAAAACTGCCTCTGTGCTGAATATATAGAGACTTTTTTTTCTTGTCATGATTTGCTAAGAAATGCAGAAGAGCCACCATTTAGACAGCACTCACATTGTTTTAGGTATTGTAAGTCATCCAGAGATGATCTGAAGTATGTAGAAGGCTTGTTGTGTAGGTTATGTGCAAATACCACACCCTTTTATATAAGGGACTTGGACAGCCTGACTTGATACCTGCAGGGGATTCTGGATCCAGTCACCCAATGATACCAAGGGGCAGCTGTCATGTTTTGGAGAGGACTGGGAGCCAGTGATCATCCATCTCTGAGGCCACAGGGAAAATAAAAGACATGCCCTTTGAGCCCTGCGTGCTCTACTATGAGTACTGTGTGGGTCCATAGCTGAGTTTGAGGCCAGCCTGGGCTACAAATGAGTTCAAGCCCAGCCTGAACTGCATAGCAAGACCTTGTCTCAAAAAATAATGACAATAATAATAAATATACCCTTTGGCCTGGTGAATTTAAATTAGAAATCTTTTCTTTTGGTATCAGGAATCGAACTTGGGTCCTTGCGCTTTCCAGGCAGGTGGCAGAATCACTGAGCTAAGTCCCCGGCCCAGGACTTTTTTTTTTGGTACCAGGGATCGAACTCGGGACCTTGCACTTGAGAGGCAGGCACCAGAACCACTGAGCTAAATCCCCGGCCCTAGAAATCTTTCTGCCTCTGTCCCTGAAATGTACAGAAATGGTGAGGGGCCCCCACTACCCACCGGGGCACACAGATGAGTGGTCACACCCCTTCTCTGCCTGGTGACCAGTGGCGACCACATCTGCAAGGATAAGGTCCCAGACCAGGAGAGTCCTCCTTCACAGAAGCCCATGAGGATAAACCATGGGGACCAGCTGGTAACGAGACACTAATTGTGTGTGTGTGTGTGTGTGTGTGTGTGTGTGTGTGTGTGTGTGTTGAATCCAGGGCCTTTCACATGCTAGGCACGCACTCTACCACGGAGCTACACCCCCTCAGCCTGACGAACGTTCTTCCTTTCTCACCAGCATTAACTAGAAGCTGCTGATACCACTAAAACAATGTGTATGTATGTGTTTAAATTTTAAAGTGTAGGTGTTTAAAAAGAGTTCCCTCCCATCTGATACTCACCAGCAGTTAATTTTTATCATAATGTATACATGCCTGGAGATAAGTTGTTATACTAAATTTACCTTATTTATTCCAGGAAAACCTACATAACACATATTTGTGTGTTGCTTTTGTATATATTTTTATACACAAGGGAGTAAAAGTGGATTTACATAGCAAATACCCATAGCAGGCCTAAGAGCATTTACATAGCACTTATTACAGTCCTATAATCCACCTGCTCCAAAAGTTGAGCATCCTGATGAAATAATTGGTCAATAAACAGATCTTCATATGGTCCCTTCATCTCCAATGTAGCTGAGACACACACACCCCCCAAAAAAGCTGTAACAGCTACACTTCAAACAAAGGAATGGACTAGAATTCAGGAGTTTCAATTTTTGAATACCAAAAAAAGACCATCTTCATTTTCACAAGCCTCCAATTGGAATGTAGCATTTCCTTCCATTGTGAATGTCAGCAGCAAACCACAGTAATATTAGCAGCACCTGCCTATTGTCAGTACATTGCATAACAGCTTCTGTCGATATTCGCAGTAGCATTTATGCTCATCACTACCTCAAAATGATGGTAGTTATTAGCCCTGCCACTTGCCTGGCTTCTTATGGAAACAGAAGCATGTATTTTTGCTGTCACCAAATTTGGTTGCCTTTTCCACATGTTAATAATCACATCTCACGACCTTTGGTTTGCTCTCCCTCGTTCACATTTTAGCAAAGACATTTAAAAACATGATTCCGAGAAAGGACCGCAGACCACGCAGTCCATTGCAGGGGGTCCATGATACGGAGATTATGATGCCCTGCACAAGATGAACTTCCAGCGGCCTGCACCTGCCTCGGGCAGCACTGCTGCCTCCTGTACCTCCTGCTGTCGCTGGGGTGGCACAGGCAGTCCTGCCACCAGTCTCCCCAGCCCGGCTCAGGCGAGTGGTGGCAGCACTGGATGGAGCAGCGTGTGTGTGGATGACAGCGTGGTCAGCAGCTCTACCCAGAGCCAACTCCGAGCTCCCACCCCAGCCCTGCTTTGGTATGGGGATTCCCTATGTGGCTTTAGATGCTGAGAAGCCACCAAGTCCCCACCACCAGCTCACACAGGACCTCAGCTTGCATCTGAGTTCTGGGAGTTGCAAGTTTTTACTACTGTACCTTTTCATGGTAAAAGACCTTACCCTTGTTGGACATTTTTTTGTGTCTGGCAGTACTGGGTATCAAACTCAGGACCTTGCACTTGTGAGGCAGGTGCAGTGCCACTAAGCTAAATCCCCAGCCCTGGGCAACATTTTTAATTCACTAATTTACATTGGTTCATTCTACAAACATGTTGGGCAGCTACCGTGTGTGAAATAGGATGTGTTTTAGAAGAACAGAAAGCCAGGCATGATGGCACACACCTGTATTCCTGGCACTCGCAGGCTGAGGCAGCAGGATCCCATGTTCAAGCCAAGCCGTGGCAACTTAGCAAGACCCTGTCTCAAAATTTTAAAATCAAAAGACTGGGAGTAGAGCTCAGTGCAAAAACCCAGGAAATCAATGTACAAGTCCCGTGACCAAAGAGAACGGCTTTTTTGGTGTTCTTCACTGTATTGAATGGATTGTATTGACTAGGGGACAGGAAAGTGGTGGTTAACCACTAAATATTTTCTAAGTAAACATATCCATACATTGAGCATACGCTAGCCCACTTGCAACGGTCATCTGAAATGAGGGCAGGGTTACTGGGAACCTGGCCTCTACTGTGCGGGGCTTGCACTGACTCCAAGTAGTGGTGTCAGAATCGAGTTGTAGCCCTCCCTTCCTCTCTCCCTTCCTTCCTTCCTTTTTCTGTCTCTCTTCTCTTTCTCTATCACCTGCCCCCCCCAAGGTCATGCTAACTTTCTGAGTTGCCCAGCCTGGGCTCAAACTTGCCATCCTCCTGCCTCAGCCTCCCAGAGTGCTAGGATTATAGGCATGTGCCACCATACTCAGCTAGACCAAATTTTCAGCTCAAAGGATTCTCCTGCCTCAGCCTCCCAAGTTGCTGGGATTACAGTTGTGCACCACTGTGCCTGGCTTGACAACTGTTCTTTAAAATAGCCATTCATGCTCAGATCTAGCTGTTGGCTACTTAGGAGATTTGATATGGTTTCAGCCACCTATTCTTCAAGAGCTAGGTGAGATTTTTGCCAGAGCTTATGAATTTCCTAAGAACAAATCAGTATCCTCAGCCTGATCAGA